TGCAAAGTTTGGCAAGCGTGGCAGGGCCGGCGTTGGCCACGCAAGAATGCCGCGCTGCTGGTGTTTGTTGATTGCGCACATTCTTGCTTTGGCGGCGGAAAAACGGTGGCCGGCGGAGCTATTGCGCGCGCTACTGCATCTATCCACGCTTGCCAATGTTTTTTTGCGCAAAGTGCGTCGAATTTGCAACATGAATTGTTTGCCAACAGTAGCTCTTTATTTACGATGAAAGTGTTTGGATAACGGCCAAACAGCATGGCCCGGTGCGGTCTAGTCGGGTTAAGAAGCGTGGATGGCGCCAGCAGCAGCCGTGGCAGGCGGGCTGGACGTGCAAACAGCCACGCACACCACAGTCCCCTACCCTCAGGCCCCCGCTTGCAGAGTCACCTCTCTTTTTTACAATAAACTATGCCTAATTTCAAGTATGCAAAAACCGAAGAAATGCCAGAACGTGCGAAAACCGCGTTCAGCCGAGAATAGCTCAGCGGTAGAGCGGGAGACTGTAGTTGTCTAATCTGTTATCTCTAGGTCCCTGGTTCAAATCCGGGTTCTCGGACTTTTTTTGCGCTAAATTTGGCTGCGTTGCGCTGGTGCTTTTTTTGCTCGGCAGACGCGGTGATGGCAGAGAGGTGTAGTGATTGAACCGTGGTTGGCTCATTGTTCCAGAGCTTTTTTACACAGATTGAACGGCGGGGTTTTTGAAATTGTTTACTTTTAAAATAGCTGTGATTGTGGCCAATAGCAATTTTATATTTCTTTGTCACTGTCCTTGGGGTGGGTGGGGTCAAGTTGTTATCCCGTGTTCGCTAATGGTGCCGTTTGTTAACCTAATAGACTGGCAGCAAAAAATGTAGCGAGCGATGACGCGGACCGCTGGCTTTATGGTTGGCTGTAGTTTTAAAAAGAAATTATTTATATATTAAAGTGTCTCCGCCGTGTACTTGCGCACTGTATGAATAATAATGATATACAATACCAAACTCATGTATTCCAGAATTATTTATTAGAAATGTAAAAGTATACTACAACCATAGCAGCTATGCAATGTATGGCAATGTTAAAATGTTAATTTCTGGTGGGTAATTTAATAACCAAGCTTGTCTGATATAAAAGCTTGTGGTGGATCATGGCAAAAATGCTACTTTTTACCAGTAGGGGTCATGGTAGTTTGGCCAGTATGCAATGGGTTTGTGCAGTTGCCGCCGGGACATATAAGGCACTTGGGCATTGTGAAAAGAGTGAGTAATTGTTGGACAGTGGGTAGAGAAAACGGCTACAAGCAAGGAATTTAAAATTTATTTTATAGTCCAAGGTCTGTGCATCCGAGCTTCCAGTCATGCTACACAAACAATAACGCTGAGGCCGCTTTTCTTAATTGCACTAAAGTCTTTATTTAATGGTGCGGATGCCGGAATTACTACAATAATACATTTTTATTGTGCGGACTTTGTGGAAAATTAAAACTGGTATATTAAAGATTTCCAGGCAATTCCGCTGCCGAAATTGGCAAAAAAGCGACCACTCCGGCAAGCACCTGGCCGCGCTGCGTCAAAAAGGAAGCGCCAGCCAGAAGAAACAGCAAAAAAGAGATTCCGCAACGGGGAATTGAACCCCGGCCGTCACGGTGAGAGCGTGAAATCCTAGCCACTGGACCATTGCGGATGGTCGCACAACACACTAGTGCTGCTGCTATAAACACCGGTTTTTACAATAAATGTGGATCTGCAGCTGCGCAGTGTCTGATTTTGGGGTGAGCGGCGATGCTGACAGTCCCCGTTTTTTTATTTGGCGGGAGGTTGCGACGGACGCTCGCCTTTTTCGCCGGTTTCTCTCGGTTTGCAATTTAGCGCGGTTATTTATCGATACTTTAGATACAAATAGGGAAGCGAGTTACTGGCACTTGGGGTAGGCCTGCTTGGACGACGCGGTCTTGAACAGCTTGATCTCAGCCTTGCGGCGGTTGACCAGTCCTTGCAGCACGCGGCCGCCGGCCAGCCGCCACTTGGGCAGCTCCTGCGACGCGACAGTGTTTGGGTTCTCGCCTTTGTTCAGGCGCTTGACCAGCGTCGAGGTGGCCACGTTTCCGCAGCCGTTGTTGAACGTCCACGAGGTCAGCGCCGCCCACTGGTTGTCGTTCAGCTTGACCTTGCTGTTGAGCACCTTGGCCAGGCACGCCGTGTATGTGGGCAGATCGTCGTTGAGCAGTTGCTTGGCGGTGGTCTTGGACAGCGGGAACTTGTACTTGACCTCGGCGCAGCCCTTCTTCTTGCACAGGTGGCCGTAGCCGACGGTCGGCAGGCCAATCGGGTCGGGCTTAGGGCTGGCGACAAAGCCCTCCCACTGCGCGATCAGATTGATTCCGGCGGCGTTGACCTTCTTGCAGTGGCTGTCCGACGAGCCACCACTGCTGCCACCGCCGCACTTGGATGTGACGTAGCCGTTCTTGCCGGTCTTGACGTAGTAATCAGCGACGTAGCAGCCATCCGACGTCTTGTCCCAGATCGAGTTACCGTTGACGCTGGTGCCCGACGTCTGGCAAGTGATCGACACGTTCTGGCCCTTCTTGTACGATTTCTTGACGCCGTAGCTGGTCCCAGGTCCCGAGCGGCAGTTGACAGTGTTTCCAGTAATCGGGTATGAAGCGGCCAGCGACATAGTGGACAGGAGCGCGCAAGCAGCGAGAGTGAGGAACTTCATTGTGAAAGTAGTTTGGTAGCGTTGTTTAAGCGAATTGGTGTGTTGAGGTGTTGTTGTGTGTCGAAAACGGCGACCAGGGGGAATACATCGCTTCTTTTATACGTGTCGAGCAATATATTTTCTACACTTTATAACCAATAGTGTCTATTCTTGGCCGCCGCATGGACCGCCGACTTGTGGATAAATCCTGGATATCCGGCAAACTATAAATAGACAACCGAACGCCAAATAACCACGAGATCGTTAGTCGTTCATTTGTTTTGACAACCAGTTCCAGTAAATTTCGACAAAGCGCGTGGATGAAGAAAAAAAGGGCGCGGTCTAAAAATAAACGGCAATGCATTTCCAGGTATTTTCCAACACTAATACCAGGAATTATTCGATCGGCCACGCGTGCA